GTCGAACGTCGAGCGCCGCTATTTTGTAAGCAGCGCTCGACGTTCGACGTTCACGTTTTACAGATGAAAACTTCGGCCGCAACTTCGCTATAATTCTGGATCTTCTAATCGTTTATTTCTTCAGTAAATTCTGCCTTTTATGAAAACATTGAAAGATTAATATGGTTAGAAGAACCGAAACGTTTCTCCATGGTTTTTTTTCAAAATGAAAGGTCACTAGAGTTTTAATTTTCTACTTAAAAAAGAAGACTGTTTTGGTTACTATTGTAAAAATATGAAGGAACCCGCGACTCGGATCTTTTTCGAAACAATTTTACTCCACGAATGATTAAATATATTACAGAAAAATTACAAAATTTAAGTAATTTTTTTAGCTCCTAATATTTTTCTTAATATATTATAAATATTGAAGCCATGCCATATTTTTAATAAGCAAATTTCGTTTATTTATTTTGAAATCATAGAGAAATGCCCTTTAGCAATTACAGTATTTGAAATGAAATTCCTAACGAACTAATTTGATTGTCATAATCCAATCAAGTATGTTAATATATTTAAGTTCGTAACTATAAAGAATTGTTGTGTATTAAATTAACATTTGTATTTGGAATATTATTCGAAATGAATTTTTATTAAGATCTCAAAGATGAGGAAGAGTTAAACAAGAAAAAAATGATTGCGATTTTCGAGTTTTAATGAATTCGATAACCTTAGGAGCACGTTTAAACATAAAATTGACTTGTTTTTTGAAACCGTGTCCTGTTTTATATTTGTGGCGTAGTAAACACTAGTATTGTGTTTTATTCTAAAGACACATGGCAAATTTTCCATCAAATTCCTTTATTCGACTCAACTAATAAAGGAATTTGATGGAAAATTTGTCATGTGTCTTTGGAATAAAACACAATACTAGTGTTTACTACGCTACAAAAATAGACTTTTTATAATGGTTTTTATTGCATTTTTATATGCTCTTTTTGTGTATTTTCTTAATTGATCAAGATAAAATCAGTCTGTAATTCATATTCGCAAAGCTTTCTAAAATATAATTTAATAAAATATTCTTACACATTACATGGCATTACCGTTAATAAACATCTGTTTGAAAACACGTTCATCGGAGATTACATATGTTTACGTATTGCTGTCTTGTATTTTCTATTACAAAATAACCCACGGTCCAGTTCTACGTTACTAATTGCAACTATTACGTAGGTGGTTTTTTTTTCTTCCTAAATCTTTCAGAACAATTACATACTTTTGAAAGCTTTTGGGTCTAGTTTAAGTTTGAATGAATTAACCTCCTTGATGTTCTTCAATTTATGTAACAATAAATAATTCAAGTCATGCAAGTTATATAATATTATAATGAGATTTTTACGCGATTTCTAACACGTTAAAAACCTTTGACACATTTTAAAATTTCTATTCGCTATACGAAGGATATTAATGTGGTAACAGTAGTTAAACTCTTGAAATATCGTAAAAATTTTCGCAATGGTGCAATAAATATGTCAGATTTTGAAAAATTTTCAATAAATTAATCTTCAATACAATTTATACTTTCAATTATTATTTTTTTTTATTTAAAAAAAAAAATCATAATTCTTCCTCTTAAAAGTGTTGAGATTGTCAAGATTAAACCATGCCTTTTACTTCTTAGAAGAGGAGGTAGAAAGAGAAAGATATAGCTTGATGTTGAAAAGTTATTTTAAAAAATAGAGGCCGAATATCGCGCAGAACAAAGGAATGAGATGAACAGTATTTTTATATCCGCTCCATACAAAATAAACAGAAAAAATCCTAATTGAACTTGAAGTCTATAATCACCAATTACGTAATCCATGAAGTAATGCTACAGTTTACATAAATTACACAAAATGAATCATCTTATTCTCTTTTAAACACGTCTATATTATTTATAATCACATTTCTATTATTATTATTATCATTAATATTACACTTTAAGCACGCTAAAGAATAATAATAACTGTTACTCACTTGAAGTTTGTGATTCCGGTTGACTCGAAACAAAGCTTGATAACTTATTATCTAATCTTTAAAACTGTTATCTCATTTGTTAGAATCATTTCACTTCTTAAGCGACGAATCTACACTAGAAAAAAGAGGTTGCTTCAACTACTTCTTCGTCTTAACGTTACGCAATACGATAGTGTCACGGTTAAGGCTACGCATAAATTCCTCTGTGGATAAAAGTGGCCATTCGCATCTTCCTTTAAATTTCGAATATGTGAGCGAAACCGGAAGTAATAACCGAGCGATGATTTTTTCGGTAAAATCCACATCCGGTCGGGATTCGGCGTGGTTTTTTCCAAAAAGATTCGGATTCCCCGTAAACGATCTAATTACACATTTCTACTCGCGTTTAGCCTAAATTCCGTCGGCCTGGATATTTCGAAACGGCACGACTTAAGCTTTCCAAGAAAACGTGATCTTAAGATATGTCGAACGAAAAAAGTAAATATTTGGAGAAATCGTCCGTACCATGTACCCATCTCGCTGTTGTCAGAAGGCGCGCTGTACATCGAAGAGACGAGTGTACGATGGCTAAAATTATTTCTTTACGTGTTTAAACTTAACGTAAAAGAGTTTCTTTCGTAGATCCGGGTTAAACGGGCGCCAAAGAAGGGATTAAAAAGTATAGAACGAAACGATTAAGGGAGTTAAATGGTTTCCACATTCGATAATTTCGGTGTTAATTTCCTCCAAACCCAATTTAGGAAAAGTGGCACGAAAACGAAATAGCTTAAGCAATCGGTTATGTGGGTCACGGGCCGCCTGAGGCTCTCCACCTCTCGATTTATCGGTTTGGACTGGCTATTCTTAAACCTCAATGTTATAAATAGATAAGTTAATGGAAAAACGTCCCGGATCCGATTATTATCTTCGAATTGTGCGTATCGATCTTCGTCTGGCGTCGTCTTAACAGCTCGATACGACCGGAAATCCATCGGAAGGACCGGAAACTATGCTGACTCCGGAAAATTTCTCCTCAGTTAAGTTTTACCGATGCAGCGATTATAAAACATTAAAATAAAACAAGAGAAGCGAAGGTATCACTTCCTCTCTCTCTCTCTCTCTCTAACACGTTCCTCCCGTTTATCCGGATGCACGGAGAAACGGAAGAATTACAGTCACAAAATTGCTAAGTACTAAAATTCGTGTAGATAAAACGATACGAAGTCATTAAACTCGTCTAAGGTCGAGTTAAATTGACATATTAAAGTGTATAAAACTCGGTTTTATTGTTGTAGAGACTATTTCGCTCCGAATTCTCAATCTTTAATGGTAGTTTACTACTGACAAAAATATATATATATAAAAGTTTGATAATGTATCATATTTCAAAACTAAAAGTTTTCGCAACAGCAAGGCAAAAGAAATATCACGAGAACATTGTTAAAACGTTTGGATTTATGTATGTGAATCGTACTTGAATCAATGGAGTTTTTTCCAGGATACAAAACTAATCAGGATGACAAGAAATATAAAATCTGTAAATCATCACTTCAACGGTAATACAACTGGCATAAATCATAGTATTTAATTCGTTTTTTCTAGCCAATGACAGAGATTAAGGAAAACTTGCCGATAGCTCAGGAATGTTTCTTTTTGATAACGAAAAAAAAGGGAGCGTTAGGAAACGTAATGTCCTACTTTCAAATGCTGAATTAAGAAAAAAACAATCTTCATTTATAAATGTTTACACAATGGCGACGTAAGACGACACTAATTTGCAGTTTAAGACATACGTAATCGTTAAAACATATATCTTCCAAGGTTTTGTAGGCATTTAACTGAATAGAGATAATTTTTCTAGGCTAATGAGTGTTTATGGATGCGCATTGAGAAAGGACAAACGTGAAAGAAACCATTGTAAGTGCCACATAATTTATTCTGATAATTAACATAATCAAACAGAAGACAGCCGTCGGTCTTAAATAGAAAATTTTACATCCGACGACGTTTATATGTACAATTTTAAGTTGGAGGACGATCGCCAAACGGTAAGAGGAGCGCAATGAAGAAATTTATTTATTTAACTTCCAACCGCTAATTTACAACTTAAGAATTTTGGTATCAAAGTAGAAACGTTTGATAGGGTGAAAACAAAAAAAATGTTGCGCTACTTCCTCAGATCCACCACTATGGCCTTCGTTCTTTCGCTCAGCTCCACGTGACTGCATTCCTACAAAAAGGGGAAAAAAACAAGTTAGTGAATATGCCCTACTTTCAAATCTTAAGAAAATTTATTAAGTCTTTTCAGCAGAGACGTGTTTAAAAATGCATTTATTACCTCGTATAAGGGTGGCTCCTTAGGATGAGGATGAAATCCTGATTCTCGACAGTTGGCTATGTAATCTAAGCCATAATCTTGAGTCAAGGAAAACATTCCTGTCCTATAAAATAAAGTGTAAATGACTAAAAACACGTTGGATTTTCATATTTAACCAAGTGAGAGAGAGTTCAGATGACATGAGATATTGCTCTGTACTTTTTAAAGATAACCATGCTTATGTTAAATATATTCTACAAATTACTGAAATGCTTTTTTTTTAATACAAACCACTCAATAACTTTTTAATTTTTATTTAAAATGAGCATCCAGTTTACAGTGTTTATTTCATTGAATGTTTATAAAAAAATTTCAAATTTTACTGGAAAAGTTTACATTTTTGAAGAAGAATCCTAGATCAATTATTATCATCCTAATTTAGTAACACTGGACTCATTATTAAGGAACAGGTGCTATCAAAAATACATAAATTTACACTGCAAAATCCATTAATTCTTTACTTAAAATCTAGAGAAATTCAATTTATATATGTTCTCAAACTTGAGAGACTTTCTTTGCAATTTTCTTTTAAACATTTTATCCTAATAACATAATTGTGTAAAAAAACTAAATAAAATATTATTTAAGAAATTATTAAAAAGTGTGATATCATTTCCTCTTTGTACATACAGGATATACTTTATTAACAGGAATTGATAATCATCACGTTTTTTTTTTTTGCTCAGTTTCTTTGAAATGAAGTATTTCTGTACAGTTATACAGAAAAATGTCATTTAACTTCAGTACAGGAATATGAGAGATCAATCACCTTGCATAAAAATTATACACATTTTTTATATTCCTTAATAATAAAGTTACAATTTTTATTTTTTCTCCTCCACTCAATCATGCAGATACTGAGGCCTTGGTCTCTGTAAATACGACTGACCTCAGACTATTGCATACCACAAAGACCAAAAGGCTTCTAGGCCTTTTGGTCTTTCTGGCATGAAGGCAAGACAACTTGTTTTTAAACAAGTTATTATGAGTTTGGCAGTTACAAAGAGACAGCCAAATGGTGAGGGATGGTGTTTAATATATCCAGGCTAGATTACTAATGAAAAATTCCTTGAGATTTCATCCAGACCCAAATTCAAGTCCCTAGAATAGCAAGTGTGTATCTTAGCTGCATCATCACCTGGCTCTATTACAATATACATATATGTATTATTTAAAACAAATAGTCATACTTTAAAAAATATAATTCAATTATTATTATTACTATCATCACTTATAAAATACTGTATTGCCAATTAGAATTTACTGATTTATTTAATCAGTCAATGAAAAAAATTTTTTACTTTATACAGAGAAAACTGCATAAATCATATACTATCAGAGGAAACCATGTTTGATTAGTTTAAAAATTATTTCTTAAAATTTTAATTCTGTAATGCATTTATAGCTTAATTTTGTTCCTATGTAGAAACTTTAATAAATATATTGATATACTATTCCTTTAATGTATTTATTTATGCCACATTTACACATATATCAATATACAGGGTGTCGGAATCATATAGCAACATGGGGTAGGAAATGCTTTCCCGACGTGGTAGATGGCATTGCAGATGTCACATTTGGCCAACGTGGTAAATCTGATGCAGTGGTCCCGTGCGTTGGCCTGCTCGGTCACCAAAACTATCATGTCTTGATTTTTATTTCTGGGAGCATATGAAAACACTGGTTTATGACACCCCCACTGACAATGCTGAGGAGCTGGTTGCAAGAATTGCATTAGCTGCCAGAGAAATTCAAGATGAGCCTGGATTATTCCAGAATATTCGGAATTCCATGCACCATAGATATGAGGTCTGCATTGCAGTCAGTGGAAGAAACTTCAAACACTTTCTTTGACCCATGTTCCTTTTGTTTTTGTACATTTATTATTAAAACGAATATTCACCTACGGTCTTCTTCTTTATGATGTTTCTGTGTACATCACCACTTCAGGAAAGCATTTCCAACCCTGCATTGCTATATGATTCCGACTCATCAGGATGTACCCTACCCCTCTTAGAAGTTCTGAAATGTTTAACTGAGACACCCTGTATATGAAGCCCGCTGGGACATAGAGTGATAACCCTCAGAATCACATTGAGATAATTGAGTTTCAATGTTTTAAAAAATTGTAAAATCATATGAATAGGTGTTTATTAATATTTTTGCTTTCCGAACATTGCTTGTAGATGTGGCTGTCATCTCATCATTTTTGGATTTTTTCAAACATTCAAACTCAATTACCTCAGAAACATGATTCTCAGGGTATATATACATCCCCACTATACAGCACTATACATCCCCAAGAGCTTCATATCATTACTTTTTGTTATTCATTTTGAAATGGAAAATTGATAATTATTCTTAATCATATTCAAATGGCTAAATGCCAGAGTATTTTGGGCTCTATCTTAGCCAGTTATTAATTAGCAAAACAAAGTAATGTATGTATTTGTAATCAAATTGTTAACTTGTCATACAGGAAGATTTGAGAGGAATCTGCACTATTCTGGGAGATGATAATATGAGTTAGTCTAAGCAAAAAAGTTTGTATGAACATGTATCAGATTTGTAATGGTTACTGAGATACAGTAAATCTTTCCTGACTGATGGATTGGTTGTGGCAGTCTTGTTTTCTGTCCAGCATGGAGTCCAGATCTAACTTCTTTGATTTCTGCTTTTGGGGTTGGATGAAGACCAAGATTAACTGTATGAACATATCAGAAACTGCTCATTTGCATCACATATGTTATTAGTCAAATCAAGAAATGCAAGGTGACCTTGGGCAAGTAATTCATCATGTTCTAACATGAGTTTATAAGTGCATTGATATGGGTGGTGACATTTTCAAGCACATTATAACATATAACAGATTTCCACTTTTCCAATACCATAGCAAACACAAGTCTTTACTGTATGACATTCCTATTCTATCTTTCTCATGGTGCCTTAAATATGTTCTATATACAATATCTCAGCAAGAGCTAATTCAACTGCTAACAATTGCTAATTCAACACACATTCATGTGAACATTTTGCTTAAATCAACCTATATCTATCCAAAATTCAGTTTAACTGAATTTTAAACTGAATTTTTTCATATATAATGATAGGAATGCACTAAAAACTGTAAAAATTTTTAGTGCATTCCTATCATTATATATGAAAATAATTGAAAGTGTCCAGAAGCTAAGTTTGAATTTATATACAGTAAGATCCAGCTTAACGCTGCCTCGCTTAATGCTGATTCGATATAACGCAATCTGCTCGAAGCCTAAGAAAAAAAAAAGCTCAAAATTTACACTGATTTAAATTATCGCAGCATTTCATTGATTCATATGTAATACGATTATTTGCGAACACAAACCAATCATCAAAAGATAACAAAAAGGTGTACTTTCTTTAAATCTATGTTTGTTTGGTGCAATTTTGGAAAAAATATAACATCATGGATGCCGTAGGAAATATTGACTTCGCTTGGCAAGAATTAACTGATAAATGCACGAACGAAACGTGGAAGAAGTTATGGCTGAAGGTATCTAAGAATTCTCAATGAGAAGAGCCTATCGCTGTATCATTAGGTTGACCAAACCCAACCTAATCAATGTAACAGGACTAGGAGATGTAGACGAGCAGGATATTGAGGAGTTATAGCAGGTTTCTGACAAGAGCCTTACCAACAACAACCTTCGAGAACTGGCAAAACATGAAATTCATGTGGAACTGGAAAATAGAGATTCTGAAAACAAAGAACCCAAAAAATTTCTCTACAGATTTTATTAGTAAAAGTTTGGTAAGATAACTGAAATCATTAATCAAATTGTAGCGAATGATCCAGATTTTGAAAAGACTGTGAAAGCAAAACACAGTGTTTTGGATACGATCTTCTGCTATCGACATTTGCTTAAGGAAAGAAAAAAGTGGCAAATGAAACTTCACTACTTTATTGCAAAAGAACAAGAATTTCAGAAAAGTCAGGACCTTCATCACAAAAAATGAATGTTACATTTCTATGTGCATATGTTTGTGTTATTTAACATATATTATTATACAAATTAATATAAAAATAAGTTAAAATTAAATTTTTTTTTAATTTTCAGTTGCATGTTCCCCTATCCCTATTTACTCTATTGTTAAANCTAATTATTAAGTCCAGATTCTCACATAAGCTTGGTGCTTTGAAGCAAGATGTAGAAAAAAATAATACAGGTAAAAATATTGTGGGTACCACTTCCAAGCACCAGCTTATCTTTACCAAAGAAAAACTCCTAAGATAAATTTTGACTGTTGTCTAAATTGTCATAAGTTTTCACTTGAAACAATATTTTTATGTTTCTTTGCAGACACACTAAGGTGACATATTTCAACACTTGGCAAATTATTCACTATTTATTCAGTTGGATAAATAACTGAATAAATAGGAAATAATAGGAAATAACTGGACCCAACTGAATAAATAGTGAATAATTTGCCAAGTGTTGAAATATGTCACCGTAGTGTGTCTGCGAAGAAACAACAAAGTTTTATAGTTTTAGCATATATCTGTCCTATAAGACGGCCCCCAAACTATCAACGGCCTATGAATTTAGTTTAGATTAGTGATCATCATCTGAATAACAACACTATATAGCATATATGAAATTATATCCTATTTGTAATTTTTTGAAAGAACTTCAAATTTTATTTTCTTGCATCTGGCAGCACTCACTGCCTTGTGATTGTTGCAAACATTTACACTGACATTTGGGTAATGACCTTGACTATTTCACAAAAAAACGTTGTATGGGTTATTCCATTTTGTGGACATAACCTACTCTCTACCAGTAAATAATTAAGGTTTGTTGGTTTTTTATAATTGTTTTAATTTATATAAATTTCAATCTAATTTTTTTCGTATCTGTCCTTTAAGACGACCCCAAATTTTGGGGGTCTTTTTTTTTTATGATTCAACTATTGTCTTATCTGCGCAGGCATACAGTATATTAATTGATAATTGATATAATGTTATAATTTACTTCAACAAGCAATATGATTGTGATAGAATCACATAGAATTTGTGATTTA